TGTGTGATGTAACGATGCCCTGGCTGCATCCTTCTTATGTTTGCGATCTGTGTAAGGGTTCAAAGCCAGGGCCCCGTTTCACAGAGCTATCTTAGCGCTGCGGCTGTCGTGCCTCCTATACTGTAACATTGACTTAGAACAGTCGTAGCGCTACGATAGCTTTGTGAAATGGGACCCAGACCAACAAATTATTGGTAATTCATTACTTTTAGAATTATATTGTTTTCATCAGAGACTATATATTTCATGTTTGGATTTTAAACCAAATATCTTATCACTTTTGTAGTCCATGTTGCCATTTCAAAACTGATAATCTACACGTCAGTGGTATTATTCAGGAACATCAGAAATAGGTTTTGTTGTACCCAAGAGGGAATCGAACCCAGGCCACCGCCCCTTCTTACAACCGACGATAAAGAAAAGACTGGTTGGCAAACCGAATTAATCTTATTTCGGGCGATCGGGTAGACTAGTGGGTAAAACATTCGCTCGTCATGCCATTTTAGGGTTTGATATTGGCGGAAAGATGCGGAATATGGAGTAAAACATTCATTCACTCACTCACTTCACATCTTACTGCAGTAATACCTTCATGAAGCATAAAACGTTCCGATGAATGATGACAAACATTTTCAACGACATTTTATATCTGAAAATAATATCTTGAAAACATTGCCACAAAACGCAAGTAATCACCACGTATGTACTTGCGTCTGTAATTTTCATTTAGCCTAGGGCGGTAGGGTAGCCCAGTGGTTGAAGCGTTCGCCCGTCCGGGTTCGATTCCCCACATGGGTACAATGTGTGAAGCCCATTTCTGGTGTCCCCAGCCGTGATATTGCTGGAATATTGCTAAACGCGGCGTAAAACCCAACTCACTCATTTTTAGACTAAGCGGAAATTACGTACTTGCCAATGCTGTGGTAATGACGAGCCCGACTCACGAGCGATAACGGTACACAATGTCAGAAGTAATATCCAATACTCACCGTGGGTTTATTAACCATTTTCGACCCCCCGGCAGTGGGCACCGCATGCAAGAAGTATAAACACCAGCTGCTTCTGCAAAAAAGCAGACTTTAGTGAGGACTATAAACTTAAAGGAGGTCCACGTAGTGGTTAGATATTATCGATTTCATGATAAACACCCTACTTTGTGGACACAGTGGCGTGAAACGGTGTTCATTGCGTTGTAAGAGTCCGACAATTTCATACAACGGCGAAGAGGCCTCTTCGGATAAGGGATTCAGTTCCGGACAACGCCGCACAATAAAAGAGAAATAAAATTCTAAGGAAACGAAGCTGTTGCCAGGCATATTTTGGCACCTTCGTCTCAGGAGTATGCCAGAGATATTCGCTCTTGGAGGTTAAAGTGACTTTGTACTGGAATCGCTGCTTGGGCACATCGCATGGCAGGAATCCGTACTTAACGGGTTTGGTATCTGATTTAACGAACATAAAACCTAACACTTAATGCATTTAATAAGTAGGTAGATGTACAGTCATTGCAAACGATGGGAATGCTTAGAGACATTAGACGCTTAATCGTACAGAAGCATGGGTTGACGTCAGTAGTCCCAGTAGTTATTGTGAAACAAGACCCCATGGGCAATCCTGGTTGGACTGCGGGTAATAAAATGGCTAAGGTGGTCATTTGGTCGATTGCATATCATCTTACTCTGACGACGTGGAGAGCTGATTATACCGCATTTTCTCGACTAAACGCCAAGGTGTATATTTCTTTCAGATAATATTTGCCCCCAATATTTAACTACAAAGATGATGATAGTGAGAATTCTGTGCATAAGAACTACTTGTCGTGTAAACGATACCCGGTGTTGACTTGAGGAAATACGGTAATATGAATCTTTGTTTTGTCCGGTGTTGACTCGATAAATTACTGCTTACCGGCGTATTGCTTGAATGTTGTTATGTGCGGAATGAGGCAACAAACAGACACAGTTTTGTGAAAAGGTGGCCATTATTTGTTCTCGTGTGACCTTGTGACAAGGGTGACAACTGTCATAGCTGAATGTAACCTTGTCTTGTTTTGCTTGCGTTGGTTAGGACTGCTCTGAAACTGACCTGTACGTGGAAGAGTGGTCGTTGTCCTCACAATGTGTTTTGACGTTGCTGTGATAAATGCAGTAGATGCTAATGACAACCATAGGGCAAACTGAGAAGTCATTATTGAAACAGCGCAATTAACTGTACTTTATGCAACGTGTCATACCCAGTACTACTACTACCGAACTTTACCCTTTCCATCCATCGCCACTCTACCCATCCCAAATTCACCCTTCTTATGATCCCAACTGTACCCTTCCCATGATCCCAACCTACCCTTTCCCATCCCAGCACCAACCTTCCCATCCCATCCTCACCCTTCCCGTCACAAGCTCACCCTTCCCATCGCCACAGCATCCTTCCCATCCTTCCCATCACTCTCACCAATCCCAACTTCACCCCTTTTCCATCCCACACCAATCGTCTCACCCTGACTTCAATCTTCCATCCTAACTTTACCCTTCCCTTCCCAACTTCACCCTTCTCGTCTCAACTTAATCCTTCTCGTCTCAACTTCACCCTTCTCGTCTCAACTTCACCCTTCCCTTCCCAACTTCACCCTTCTCTTCCAAACTTCACCCTTCTCGTCTCAACTTCACCCATCTCGTCTTAATTTCATCCTTCTCATCCCAGTTTCACCCCTTGTCCATCCCACAGCGCCCTTCCCATCACGGCACAACCTCACCCATCCAAACTTCACCCTTCCCATCACAACTTTGCCCCTTACCCATTCCAACTCCACCCAAGGTTAAGAAAGGGCACAACTATATATTTCAAAACTCGAAAACAAATTGAAAAGAATTCCTTGTCTGTTGTAAGCAGTATGCAAGCCTCCTTTTTTCGACCCTCTCTGACATTTCCAAAGGCTGTTTACTAGTCACAACATGTACATTGACCAACACCAGACTAAAAACAAACCTACATTTAACATATAGGCCACCAAGGTGCACGATAACCTGGCATTGTCCTACCACCACATACAAATCTACATCTAAAGGGGCGAACAAACTCGCCCAGCGTGTGGTCAAAAAGTCGATACCACTCGATACGCGTTTTCCCGCAGTCACTGACAGCGCGCAGGGTTAATGAATACTATCAGGAAGCTATTATCCTGACGCTGCCTTGAACTCGTGGCGGGAGACTCGAGGATCTGGATATCTGCTAATTGGAAAAGAAAATGAAGATGAGCGTCAAATTTGCTGAACTCGGCATAAATCCCCAAGCTACGGCAGTGCGTGTTGAAATAATGATGTTGTTGATTTCACAAGCTTTGTACAACTTAATAACCAGATGATTATTCTCAGCACGGTCTCCTCAGTACTTGGAGGAGTCGATTTTCTAAAAATACCAAACTGAATTATGGCGATATATTTGTCCCTTAAACTATTACAATGAAAGTTTTTAGGAAATATGTTTACTGTGTCTTGGAAATCTGCATGGCCTCTCAACTGCCGACATTGTATGGCTCAATGTAATCAGATCTATAGATCTATAACCTAACTGTCCTTCTGCTACAAATGACAAACCGATGGCAAACTTATATAATGACCATCTGAACGACATATAATTGTCTACTGTTATCGAATGTACCGTCAATATTTACTGACAGTGATAAATGTACTATATACCATCTGTAACTTATCTTTTGTATCTCCAGGAATCGAGTTTCAGTAAAATTGCGCTATCCTTGGATCCTTTCCCGTGTTTCCGATTCTCAAATTACCCATCGTTTATTTCTTAAGCTAATTTGAATTCGATCCAGCCTCAAAGTTCGGTGAGATTAACAAAATGGACGATGGAGTTTAGAGAAATAGAGAAATTCAACATTGAAAACTGACTAACACACAAAAGAAAGCCCTTAAAAGTATTTTTATGGAAAGGATATCTCCGTGTCTACGAAATCTTGTGCTTGCAAGTCCCTTGCTACCAAAGAATCCCTCTGATATGCCCATTTCCTTTTTCCATATCTCAACGTTTGATTGGTCAGTAAAATGTTGCTGAAAACAAAGGGCAGGTGATTTGATATTGTGGAAACCACTGAAAGAATCCATGGGTTAGTGTAGGTTAAACTAACGAAATGCGAGGCATTCAAATATCGAGGATGTTTGCAACTTTGTCCGTTAGATGAAGCCTTCGAGAATGCTGAATATGAGCTCTTTCTGAAACTCATTCACCTTTCCTACGGATCTCTGAGCTCTTTGACTCTCATTCGGTTTCCGGTCTTCAAATATTGTTTGTGGTCGTTCTCTTAACCTCATCATCAGAAGGTCTTGTAATAGTGTTTGTGGTGATGCTTTAAACTTCACATTGTAACCCATCCATTGTTGTTTCAGTCTCAGAAGGTCTAAGAATAGTGTTTGTGGTGATGGACTAACCATCACACTGTAACTAATCCTTCCTTGTTTCAATCTCAAAAGGTCTTAGAATAGTGTTTGTGGTGATGGACTAACCATCACACTGTAACCCACCCATCCTTGTTTCAGTCTCAAAAGGTCTTAGAATAGTGTTTGTGGTGATGCTTTAACCTTCTCACTGTAACCCACCCATCCTTGTTTCAGTCTCAAAAGGTCTTAGAACAGTGTTTGTGGTGATGCTTTAACCTTCTCACTGTAACCCACCCATCCTTGTTTCAGTCTCAAAAGGTCTTAGAATAGTGTTTGTGGTGATGCTTTAACCTTCTCACTGTAACCCATCCATTCTTGTTTCAGTCTCAAAAGGTCTTAGAATAGTGTTTGTGGTGATGCTTTAACCTTCTCACTGTAACCCATCCATTCTTTTTTCAGTCTCAGAAGGTCTTAGAATAGTGTTTGTGGTGATGCTTTAAACTTCACATTGTAACCCATCCATTTTTGTTTCAGTCTCAGAAGGTCTTAGAATAGTGTTTGTGGTGATGCTTTAACCTTCTCACTGTAACCCACCCATCCTTGTTTCAGTCTCAGAAGGTGCTGGAGAAGGTACTGGAGGTGATATGCTGCAAACAAGACTGCTGTGACTGTTTCCAGGCCAACAAAACCAAGCCCCAACTCAAACCAGACATCCAGCATACGTTCCGGGAGTCCCTCTCCCGCCTTGACTCCACGGGGAGCAACACCGACAGCGTCAGAAGCTACAGGGAACGACACGACTCCGACAACTCCCGAACAGACTCCGTGTCCTCTTCAAGCTTCGTCAGCGGGGACTACAAACATTACAAGTGTACCCCAGTCATTGACATGAAACCTATTGAATTCTGGGCCGCCAACAGGGAGAGTGTCCAGCCCAAGCCGAAACGACGTCTGCCAAGCGAGAGTGAGATCAGCATTGAGAACCTCCAACGAGATTTGTACGATAACGAACCCGTAGATGAACCGTGTTTGACCGATGAGCAGAAACTTGCCCAGTATCAGCTTGGTCAGTTACATTTCGGGCTTCAGTATGAAGTATCCTCCAAGGTTCTGGTAGTCAAAATTATTGAAGCGAAAGATCTTCCTCCGCCATTCAGTCTCGACGAGAACAAACAAGACATGGCGCATTCAAATCCTTATTGCAAAATATCTCTTCTTCCTGACCAAAAGAACTCACAGCAGACAACAGTTCAGCGGAAGAGCCAGTGTCCGATGTGGAATGAATATTTCATGTATGAGATCTCCTACAAGGAAGTTCATATGAGGACATTAGAGGTCATTGTGAAAGACTTTGACAAGTACTCCCGGCACTGCATCATCGGACGAGTCCTACTGCCGTTGTCCAATGTCAACCTCATCAAGGGAGGTCATATGTGGAAGCCCTTGTCTCCGGGAAACACGGTAAGTCAAACACCTGGAACTTTCTGAAAGGCCGACCCAAGGGTTGGAGTTTTTTTTTTGTGAAACAAGATAACCCAGAAAGGATTGGAAAAGAATAATTAACTCAGGTTTTCACTGGACGTGTTGGGAATTCTGAAACAAATGTCTGTTTGAAAATAACACCGCTCTTCCATTCAGAGAAACGTTATTATTGAAGCATTGACGGCCCGAATAATCTGTCTCTCGTTCTACCACTATCCAGACACATACACTATTCGTATGGAAGGGTTCGTTCGTTATACAAAAGGTTCAGCTGTAGCGCGTATATTTACACGATATTTTCTGTTTTTGTTAAGCGTCGAGCTTTATTTGGATGGGTGAAATGTATTGCTTGGAAAATCAAAATCGGAATTCTTATGTTAAGTAGGAATGGTCATATTACGTACATAATACTTGCATAAAAAGTTACTCTTTCATTCATTCTTAGTAATCCTCTTGCAGGGGCGGATAAAGCTTTTTGAGAAAGTGGGGGTGCACACTATTGAGAAAAGGAGGGGTGCACACTTCATTTTTACCCGAATTTCAATGGTCATTTAACAAACTTTCAGCACAACATGGGGTACATGACGACTGGGGTATCTAACATATGGAACATCAACGCTGTTCCCAGAACACTACGGTCAATGGACCGGAATGTATTTTTTATGACCGTATGCAAACTTAGCTGACACCCATACTCACCATCCACGCTTCATTAAGCTAATGAGTCCACGTGTTCCGGTAGACAGTCCCAAGAGATTGTGTAAACTGTTTCCGTGATGGAACAGTACAGCTTTACATCAGGCCCTTGAACGTTTCTACAAGCCTTGTCTACAGTAAAGAGTCTGTTCAAGTCTACAGGAGTTGGTGGAGGCAATTGTCTCCTTTCCCCACCGTCGGTAGTCACTTATGAATGAGATTTTGCTGCGTGGAAATCTTCTGTTGATGCGTTGGCGTTGTGATTCTGTTACAAGGCCTCGCATGTGGCATGCTTATCTTTAAAAACACTTTCCAGCTATTTAATGCCGGGATCTGAAGAAAGACTGGTTCTGCGTAAGTAAGTGCGCAGGTGGTAGAGAGTAATGACAGCTACATTGTGACACAGCGTTGGCATTCAGTCCATTAAACGATTTTCTTAAAGCGGCAGACCAGATTTTCTTATATAGACTGTGCAGTTACTGTTAGATTCTGCAAAAACATTTTTATTGGCATTATACCAGACGCCTTTCGGCCATATTTGCTTGAGGCTTCCGATACAGTGCACGCGTCGATTTAGATGATAGGGGATTGAATTTATTTGGTCGGTTGTTGTTTAACACCGCACTCAGCGATAGTCCAGCTATGTGGGGGCGGTCTGTAAATAATCGAGTCTGGGCCAGACAATCCAGTGATCGACATCATGAGCATGGATCTGTGCAATTCAGGTAGTGTGACGTTTGTCAACTACGTCAGCGAGTTGGACCTCCCGATCCCGTTAGTCGCCCCTTACAAGCATACGTTGCTGTTGGCCAATTCTAACCCGGATTGATCTCGGGTTAGGAGATTATAGCTACAACCAAGTAGAACATGTGAAGTAGTGAGCATTTTGCATGGTTAAATATGATTAAACCACGACACTGAGGTAATTCCCAGACATCGAAAATCAGACATCTACATCGAAAAATTACTGCTATTCGGTGCCAGTCGAAAATACAAAAGAATTGTCAGTGCTTTAAAAGCGATTTTCAAATTGATGCTGACAAATTAAGTTCAAATCAGTATCATCTTTGGAGAACAAGCAGAATGACTCCCTTTCTTACCTTTTCGTGAACACCTGGTATCATCGCTATTTGATAATAATTCATAAACACAATGCTCATAATACCGTTAGAATTTGACATTAGACTTTCCTACAGATGTGAAAGGGTTTTGTTCCGTTTTTGCTCTTAATGTATTTCAATTACAATTTCCGGGAACACCGGGTATCATCACACATTTCAGTGATCCATTTCACTACTATTTTGCCTCTTGCGCCCGATATAAACTACTTGTTATTTCATAGTTAAAGATAGCTTTAACCAAACCAGTCCATACACGTCTAAACAGTTTACATGAAAGAAATATAATTAAAGGACCATGACATTTCTCACCCAACATAGCACTGGAAATAACTTCAATTACACTTTATGTTCGACTATAGTATCAAAGGGGAAGAAAAATTCAGTGGCATTTCATTCTCGTTTACAGAAGTTATGTTTATCTACCATTGAGATACTATTGATTTCTGAGGAATTGTGACATTTCAGTATTTCTAAATCCAGCCAAGTGGTTTCATTGTTAAATGTTTGATGTGCCAAATAAAAATATACAACCACACAAGCGTGATGCTATTCTCGTTCTCCGGTCGTATCAGAAATGATATCCTCTACATCTCAAAAACACACAGCAAGACAAGCAAACATGGTGGATCTCAGTGTTCTCTGGCATGATGAAATCCTATCAAGATGACTATATCAGGTGCCGTCTTAAATGTCAAAACCTCATATTCAGGTAAAAAGAATCAAACGATTACTTTCACATACATTAGATATTTATTCTAAGCGCTGACGTCAATTAGAGATAATATTTGATAGTTAGTACATTTTTATGTTTCTGAAATCGCTGTTATGTGTAGGTTCTAAGACTTGCCATGAAATAATGGCAAGGGTGTTCAAACGTGGATAAAAGTCAAGACCACACACGACTGCATATTTCTAAACATGCACTTATGAGTGCGTTTTACTATATCAATGTACAGATATGACTGCGTTTTACTATATCAATGTGCACATATTACTGCGTTTTACTATATCAATGTACACATATGACTGCGTTTTACTATATCAATGTGCACATATTACTGCGTTTTACTATATCAATGTACAGATATGACTGCGTTTTACTATATCAATGTACAGATATGACTGCGTCTTACTATATCAATGTGCACATATTACTGCGTTTTACTATATCAATGTACACATATGACTGCGTTTTACTATATCAATGTGCACATATGACTCCGTTTTACTATATCAATGTGCACATATTACTGCGTATTACTATATCAATGTCCACATATGACTTCGTTTTACTATTTCAATGTACACATATGTCTGCGTTTAACTATGTCAATGTACACATATGTCTGCGTTTTTCGATATCAATGTACAGATATGACTGCGTCTTACTATATCAATGTGCACATATGACTCCGTTTTACTATGTCAATGTCCACATATGTCTGCGTTTTACTATGTCAATGTACACATATGTCTGCGTTTTTCGATATCAATGTACAGATATGACTGCGTCTTACTATATCAATGTGCACATATGACTCCGTTTTACTATATCAATGTGCACATATGACTCCGTTTTACTATATCAATGTCCACATATTACTGCGTTTTACTATATCAATGTCCACATATGACTGCGTTTTACTATGTCAATGTACACATATGTCCGCGTTTTACTATGTCAATGTACACATATGTCTGCGTTTTTCGATGTCAATGTGCACATATGACTGCGTTTTACTATATCAATGTCCACATATGACTGCGTTTTACTATATCAATGTCCACATATGTCTGCGTTTTTCGATATCAATGTACACATATGACTGCAGTTTTATTATTTCTCATTATTTCAATTTAAAATGTGTAGTATGGCTTTGAGTATAATAGATCTGTCGGTGTATATTTTCAGGAGCGACAGGACCTTGGAGAGATCCTCCTTTCTCTCAATTACTTGCCGAGCGCCGGTCGACTGAACATCGACGTCATGAAGGCCAAACAACTTCTGCAAACCGACCTCGTTGGCGGCTCAGGTGAGTCAAAACATGAAAATTTCCACCATGTACCGACACTTTTCGGAAAAAACCCCATAAATGTTTCGAAAGAGTTTTGTTAACAGCACATTTTATAAACATCGTATTAATTTCATTCGTGACTACTCGTGTCATTCCGAATGAGGGCTTGTTTATCTCTCGAGGCCATTTTATCCACTTGGTTCTGCCATCACGGGCCTATTTGTCAGCGGAAACATTGTCTGGTATAAGGTACCATATCAACCACTGATTTGCTAACTATGAAAGGCCCAATTGTTATTTAGTGAGGGGAAACAATTGCGACCTTCACTTTGGTGCAAGGGGCGGTGGGTCAGCCTAGTGGTTAAAGCGTTCGCTCGTCACGCCGAAGACCCGGGTTCGGTTCCCCACAAGGGTACAATGTGTGTACCCCATTTCTGGTGTCCCCGCCGTGATATTGCTGGAATATTGCTAAAAGCGGCGTAAAACCAGGTGGCAACCAGTCAATTTCATTGCTTCTATGTCGTTATGGCGTTAGGTTCAGGTGGTTCTTCTTGTACGCGTCTCGTCGTACGACTTGGTTCCGTCTATTAGTGTATTGTTATGCATGAACTACATGAATTACACCATAATACAATGTATTATGCAAACACCTATTTGAAAAATACATACAAGTTGCCATTTTACTATCCATTCCAAAAAAGATGATAAATCGAGAAATACCGAAACCAACAGAGACTTCTGCAAGATCTATAGAATCAGTATACCATCTATGTCACTATTGCTATTACCTTTGGGGATTCCTATACTGGGAAACTGTCTCGTCTTGACTAAGGTAACGTTTTGTTGGACTGGAGAAGTTCGTCGAATTTGCTGTAGACGTCAGTGGTGCTGTATGAAATACTTGATTTAATAATGAAGTGACGACCAAAGCCCCGAAGCCCTTCATTCAGCATTAGCGGGAATATTGGACACATCGTACCACCATGTCTTATATATATGGACTGACTGACTGACTGACTGACTGAGTTTGGTTTTACGCCGCTTTTAGCAATATTCCAGCAACATCACGGCGGGGGACACCAGAAATGGGCTTCACACATTGTACCCATGTGGGATTGGAACCCGGGTCTATGGCGTGACGAGCCAACGCTTTAACCACTAGGCTACCCCACCGCCCCTTATATATATGGAGGGAAGGAAGGAGGGGGTAGGGTTTCGGGTGCGGCAGGCTAATGCCAGGGCCCAAACATTTCTACTGTGTTTATGATGAAACTCGAAGACTTCAGTCCTCCAGTAGATACATCAATCTGGTTCAGATTGATAAGTGACGTCAATGCAAGACATTAACCAGTCTTGATTATCTGATGATACAAACGCCCATCAGTGCCAAAACCGTTATTGTAGATCCCGTTGCGTTTTTATATTTAACCATTTGTTTTCAAAGTGTAATGTAACTGGAACTACTAAAATAATTCTCTGAGTCTATAAATTTATATTTTCTAAGCTTCTCCACTAACAGAGCAAAAGGAGGTAATATGTTTTGAAGGTCGTGCCAACCATCTTCCCAGCCTAAGTGTCATACATGCATGATTTGATTGTTGAGTATACAAACAATCAACGTAATGTAACATTTAGTTCATAACCTTTTTGAACCTTAGTTTTATAGTAAGGAGACCTGTGTGTATCATTAACTGTATGGGAAGGACACGCATTGTCACTGTACTGCGCGAATCTGGATGTCATTGAGAACAAAACAGTGAGTGAGTGATTTTAATTTTACGCCGCACACAGCAATATTCCAGCAATATGGCGGCGGTCTGTAAATAATCGACTCTGAAGGAGACAATCTAGTGATCAACATCATGAGCATCGATCTGTACAATTGGGATACGATGACAAGTGTCAACTAAGTCAGCGAGGCTGACCATCCGATCCCGTTAGTCGCCTCTTACGATAAGCATGGGTTACTGAAGGTTCATTCTAACCCGGACCTTCACGGGTCGAGAACAAAACAACGCCAAAGATACATTGTATATCTTTTATCGCGGAGTCTCAGACAGACAATGAAGGAATGAGGAAGGTATACTGGACATTAAACAGTTGCCATTGACAACAAAGAACCCCGAAGAGCTGAGGGATAGCTGGATGTCCAGCATGTCATTCAGATATTTTAAGTTGACCTGCAGCAACTGTCAAACACTCGGACTCACTGACACAAAATCGATGAACTCTTTTCTTGTCCAGAACATAAAAAGTCTGCAAATAATTGTCATGACAATGTTCTTTGGTCAGGCGCTTCTGATTTTTTTCGGCGCATGATTTGGGATTTAAAAGCGGTTGTTTGAAATATATGTTCCAAGATTGTATTTGTGACCTTTAGATTAATATATTCTTGGTGTGGTAAGAATGTTGAAAGAATATTTTTTCGATGCATTTATAATCAGGATTAGTTTTAGTCTTTGCCATAGGATGTAGGGACGTTGTTGCACTAATTTGTCTCCTTGATGACCGATTTAGATCCAAACACAACACGGGAGATATTTTCGGATCATTTTCTTCGTTTCGCTCCAAGCGGTCCATGTGCATCCCCTATCTATCTCAGGCAAACATGCGGCGAAAGGCTTGTCCCCTTTGTCGCTAGAAAGTGAAAAGGGACTTTGGGGCTATATTTGTACTTTTGACATTTTCTTGAGGTTAATGATACTTTTACGCGATCCTTAACAACTTAAGCTCACAGGATAGTTAACACGGTCGGATTTAGATGAAAGCGTAGACAGAATCTCTTGGAACGATTCCAGAACAATGACAACTTGAAAGATTGATAAGTGTAAGATTTTCTACCTAGGGACAAAATCTGGTATTTTCTGACTTAAGGAAATTTAACGTTCTCTCAGTTTGCTGCCGGTGGGATTGGAGCACCGCGGGGAGCGATATTTGTCAGTGACGTGAGTCGTGACATCAATGACGTCATCGACATTTGTCCCAATCGAATTATGCGGATCTCCTTTGTACGGCAAAGTAATTGGTCTTTTCATGTTTTGTCTGTGAGCATGTTTTTGTGTTCTGGTGATGAGTCATCGCAAATGACAGGCGACTACTAAGACTAAGCCAGGCCAGTCCTTCTTTGTCTTTTCCCTGCCGGCCTTCCATAGGTTTAGAAAGGCGAGATTGTTTGACGTCAGTGTCCACGGCGGATGGATCCAGCTTCAAGACGAGTTGTCAGGAAACGTGAACCCCCCAGTCTTGGCTCAGTGATTAAAATTAACAGTGCTTTGCCCAAGGCTCAAAACATCAACATTGTGAAGAAATTTTAATCTCATGTCAACAAACGTGTTCAACATAATGACTTAATTTAATTATGTAAGTCAATTTGTAATTTGTAATCGAACGCGTGGCATGTGAAGTATTACATTAATATAAACAGATAACTTGTAACGTTGGACACGTGGCATGTCAAATATGACAATAATTTAGACAGATAACTTGTCACGTTGAACACGTGGCATGTGAAATATGATATTAATTAATACAAACAACTTGTCACGTTGAACACATGGCATGTGAAATATGACTTTAATTAAGACAGATAACTTGTCACGTTGAACTCATGGCATGTGTTAATTCGTCACATTCAACACGTGGCATGTAAAATATATAATATTGATGAAGTTAATTCGTTGCCCTGACGACTTGATATGCGACATTAGGACCACTTTATTAAATATTGTCAAAATACATATGCACTCGCATTCGACGAACTACTCCAGTCATTGCGAAATATCGCTGGTCGACGATATTAAATATTCACCAAACCTAAGTTAAGGTAAAGGTTGGTAGCAAGTCCAGCGTTACATTTATTCTCGGAGTTGTCTTCTCATATCTGTCTATTTTTCTATCTTATATACTACACCTGTAAGGGTTAGCGCTAAATTTATCGTCAGAATCATGCGACACGACACGTGAGTTACAACGCGAGCCGTGTTTGTCGGCAACCTAATTCGATTATTTATTTTCCCACTTAATTGAGACTTGCGAACAATCTTGACATGTCTTTCGACAAGCTTTACTTAATTGGAGGACCTGTCGTTTATAGATCACGTGACCTGTACTTCTGATTGCTCCCGTCATTATCCCGGGGGGGAAAGTAACACTTTACGAAAATTATTTCAAAACATTGGCAAAGGCTGGAGAATCCATGAATGTTAAATGCAGGGGAAAAGGAATACATGTACCCATGTCATTTTGTTATGGTGACTTAATATGAGTAAGTGAGTGAGTGAGTTAAGATTTACACCGCACTCAGCAATATCCCAGCTATATGGCGGCTGTCTGTAAATAATCGAGTCTGGACCAGAATATCCAGTGATCAACAGCAATAGCATCGATCTACGCAATTGGTATACGATGACATGTGTCAACCAAGTCAGCGAGCCTGACCTCCCGATCCCGTCAGTCGCCTCTTACGACAAGCATGGGTTACTGAAGAGCAATTCTAACCCGGATCTTCACGGTTGTGCTCGAAGTATAGCTTGGGTGTGGCGTTATGGTAGTGATCGTCGGTACAACTATCCCGGATCTTCGCGGATATGACTTAACATGAAATAAACCAGCTAGAAACAGATGTCACGTTAGCAACTGATGATAATAAATATAATAATGGACATTTATAATGCACTTGTATCCACGTACTTGTGCATGCTCATGGCGCTGTAATAAAAATTATGCTTGATGCGGATATCACAGTTGTATTTGGGATCATAAGTTTGTTGCGGTTTGTTTCAATGCTTGAATTTTCGGTTTAATCGAATTTTCAAGTGTAAAATTACTTTAGATACTGTGAATATTGTCGATAGAAATGATAATGTATCAAAGATTGTAATTCCGTATGAGTTCTTTGAATGGCATTTAGAAGTGATACACATAAGGAAGAAAGTTTTTCTATGGATGTCAACTTCTTTGTTTCGAGGAACACAACGTTTCGAAGTGTATCCTTGCTCCTTCATCAGGTGAGGAACACA